GCAATCATCAGGCGCTGGTAGATTCTGAGGCGTACACTGCGGCCCAAAGCATGGATGCCCACGGTCTTGCTGTCGGGATGAGGTTGGCGATCCATCCCAACACACCTGCAGTTTTATGAAGGGTACGTGTTGGGATGAGGTTATGAAATTGCTGGATTTCCCGGAACATCTCGTGGAGCTTCTCGGTCTTCTCAGGGCTGAGCGAGACTCTAAGGCCAGAGGGGAGTAGCTCAATCTGGACACCAATCCAGCAAACCCGTGTCCCCCTTCGACACTTATGCCACGCAATCTCAAAGCCTAGAATGCACCACATGAGCGTGTACCTGCAGAAAATCATGCTTCTGTCACGTCTGGATGGAGCACATGCAGCCATGATGGGATCATCCACGAATGTTTGAACCCTCCCTTCATGGTCAGAAATTGTGGCTTGAACAATACGATTGGAGCATGCTGCGAGTCTGCACCACAACACTGGCCCGCACGCGAATCCAAAGCTCACAACATTGATCAGATAGAACGTTGATTGGCGCCCCTTCACCACGGCATATTTTCGTTCCGACGACCTAAGTGGTAGCGTGTAGAAGGCATCTTTGAAATCACTGATGAAGAACTCCATGTCATCACTCCTACCATTTTTGAGGAAGAGAGCGTGAACGCTTTCGGCCACATCCGAAACTCTTGGCAAGATCACCCTCTCCCTGAGCATCATGAGACCGTTGATGCCGCTCCTACGCATGTCTACAACGAGCCTGACCTTCTCTGCGCCCTCCTTTTGTTTAATGATGCATGCGAGTTTTGTGAGCTTGGCACCCTCCCCTACTTGCTGAACAACTTCACTCCAAGAGGTCACCTTTGTTGCACGGCCACACTCCACGAGTCTGTCGAGTTCAGCTTGCCCCTTTGCCCCTGCCTCCTCGAAGGATTTGTAGTTCTTTGCGCTGCCATCCCAGTCCTCAAGCAAAATGCCCAGGGCTTGAGACGCTTTGATGGAGGCTGACACGCTGTCTGTTTCAGGGAAGATGCCATTGTTCACAATTTGCTCGTTAATGCCGAGGGGGAAGCCGAACTCAAGCCACTCAGGAATGGTGTTGCAATCGGGGTCGTTTGCCTCCAAGAGGATCTGTCTGAAGAGATTGGTCTGGTAGCCGCACGCATTCGGTTCCGTGTTAAACACATGTGCCAGTTTAAGGCGGGCTGCCGTGATCAACTCCGTTGAAAAGGGGCAAACACCGCAAGCATTATCAAAACATGCAATCAATTCATCAGACAAGAACTCATTAATCACGTTGCGGATTTTGGCTCCTGTCTGTCTCAGCGATCGAGCCCTAGCAACTGCTCGTCTGGGATCTCTTAGGCCTCCAATGGCGATCTCGTTCTCCTCCTGTCGCCGCTCTGCTTTTGTCAATTTCACTGGAATGTTGGTTTCTTTCACAGAGTCGCAGTCTAAGTCTTTCATGTAGTGATCGAGTCGAACGAGGCTGTTGCCGAACTTGCCCGCCTTCACCAAAGTCCGGCCTGCCATGATTTTGCGGCCCTCGTTTGAAATCAGCCATGCGCGAAGCGCTTCTGCCCAACTCCAAAGAGGCCTGCTGGATACTCTGCCGCCAGCGATGTCCGCCAAACCTGTTCGTTGACATTGGGGTCGAAGACCTTGCCAGTGAGCCCATGTTCGAGGTGATAGTGCGGCGGCACATCCTTGCACGTCCGATTGACCGTCAACATCCAACCTGCGTTTGCCACGATGGCTGTGGGCTTCACCGACTCTGCTCCGTACGCACACTGATTCAGAAGTGTAGTGCCCACATCTGCCTTCTTGAGGATCTTCTTCAGGGCAGGGTGCTCCCACGCAAAGGAATCCCACGGGTTCTCCAGAGAAAAGGTCCCCCCGGCATCCAGAATGATATGGCATAATGCTGCCACTCTTTCTGCCAGTTTGTTTCCCTGCTCTGCTAAAGGATGTCCCCATCCCAGCGGTTGCTGATCTGACCTGATGACATCCACAGACCCATGGCAGTCCGTCCTCCTCGCTCGTGTGAAGGATTTGCACATGAACGCCAGGTGTGTATGATCTGCTCTTCTGACCATGCCCTTGGCCTTGTTGAACTCCTCGTCTACGAAGATGTCCCAGTTGTAGTAGCCATCCTGCGGCTCCATCACCTCGGCGATGTCTCCCGCCACGGCCCTCACCGCTTTCGAGAAACCAGCATGACCTGCGAAGAGTTCTAGAAACACAAACTTTCGGGGGACATGTTGAGGTACGATGTTTTCTTGAGCAGCATGATCCAAAGTCCGGGCTGCAGAAAGGGCCTGAGCCGGGCGCAGCGTCAGAACGGCATCGTCCTGTCACTTGCCCTTTCCCCCTCCTTTGCCGCCCTTTTCTTTGGCCTGCTGCGCAAGAGGTGACGTGCACTGCGAGTTTGGATGCTTGCCTAAGCAGTATTGGCACCCATGAATTCGTCCATCTTTTGCATGGTTCTGGGCACGCACTCGGCCCCCCTTTTGAGAAGCGGAAGCACAACTCCTTGCCGTCTTGGTTCGAGACGTACATCATGCCCCACTTCTTGGGATGCCCAGCGTCTGCCCTTTGTGCCCCGCTCTGAGCCTGCAGCGCGCTCTCCATTTGAGCCATCTTCTCCTTTTGCACACGCCTCCGCTTTGCACCTCGAGATTGCCCGAGACCTGGCGGCGGAGGGGGCACAACCGGCCCGGATGGGTTCGACGAAGTAGCGTTGGCCAGGGCCTCCTTGGATCCGCTTGGTACATTGACGTCCTCGGCCCTTTGCTGTGACATGTATCTCCCTCCCCGTGCAATAAAATTTTGCGCAGGGCGAACCACATGTTCGTTCCAAAAGTCTAGGTCCCTGGCCGCGTGTATGAACACCCCCGTCCACGGAGTAGACCCATCGAAATCGATGGCCATGGGAAGTCGCCCCGTAGCCGCAGCCTTTGTGAGCAACCTCCTGTATCTCTCGAACATCTCTCCGCGGCAGCGATCCTCGGCCTGCATTACCAAGTGCCACGTCTCCGGGAACTCCGCGTTGAGCTTTGAAATGCGATCTGCATATTCTTCCAGGGCCGCGGCAGTAACTACTTGTTTCGGAATTTGTCCCGCAGTTTCCGGAGGGTACCTGAGCATGAAGAGAGCCGACCTGTAGACTTTCCAGCAAGCCGCCCACGCCTCGTAGCCCGGAGGACCTGGCACGTCCAGTCCCTTGAACGTGCCATCCGCCTGCAGGATCCATGATCTGGCTTTCATCTGCTTCTGCAGTCTCCTCCCGAAGGGCGTCAGCACGCTGAAGTCTGCGTATGGGCACTCTCTCCTGTCCACCACCCTTTGTTTGAGTGCGGCGATCTGGTCTGGAGTAGGTTCCGCCTCTGATGGAGGCTCTGCCCCCGTGACCTCCGTGTGGTTTGCATATGCCTGATCCAGTTCCTTTTGAGTCATCATATTGATCTCTGTCTCGTCCAGCTGGTCTATCACCGCAGAAAACTTGACTTTCTTCCCCGAGCTTGCCGCAGGCACTGCTTGCGAAGGTGCAGCGATAGATGCTGCGGGATTTGGATCTGCTAAAGGATCTACATCTGGCATCTGAAAGGCTTGCCTGGCCACTCTCCATGCCAACGCCAACTGGATGGACTCGGCTGGGCTGAGGCTGCGATCCGCGCCGGCAGTCGTGGGAATCCGCAAGCCGTTGATTGTTGATGACCAAGTAGATTGAGGTAACTGCGAGAAGATACGCACAGACACCAGGCCTCCCAAGGCGTCTTGAAACGCCTTCCACACACTTGCGGGCAGGGAGCACCATTGCACAATCTTGTCCAACGTGTCAAGTGTAGCTAGCTCTGTGGGCAGCGAAGGACAGATGGCATGTGGTATAACTTCTCGAAAGGGGCAAGTTGCTGCCCGGCCGGCACAACACACCAAGTCAGGAATTCCAGGCAGAGAGGTTTGCCTATTCAGCAGCCATGGCCTGGAAAACCAAACTCTTGATGCTTCGTGGCCCAGCTTGGGCCTACACATTACGAGGGCCGCACCTCCATATTTCTGCACACTTCCTTGTTACTACTCACACACGTGTGATTGCATAACAAGAGAAAATGCAGCTCATGCACAGGCCTTTTGCCCACCTGTGAACCTGTCAAGCTGGAGGAAACCATCGAGCTATGTACGCGAATACAAAGTCTTGCCGCCACTACTCAGCATAGGACATTGGGTGCACGTCACTGCCGCAGTGATCAAAGTGATAGTGCGTGTAGACCTGAGATCAGCTCGCTCAGTCCAGCAGACATCACATTCCAGGGGCATAGGGTATCTATGCCCCGTCCAATCTCCAAAGCTCTCACGCATGATCTCGTTTGCCCGGACAAAGCGAGCAATGGCGAATGACTTGCATGAGCAGGCGCAGGTAAAGCACGTGTTGCTGAGGCGTGTCGTCTAGATGTCTAGAAGCTAACGCATTTGCAAAAGGGCCTTTCTTGGTCCTGCCGATCCCTCTACAGAAGCGCATGCACCAGCCCGCGCCGTGTCTCCTACTGTTTCGCAAGCGATCTTGATCCGGAAATCCGCCGAGGCCGGATACCCGGGCATTTAGATCCGGGAGCCGGAAACTAGGAAAGTAAGTTAACGCACCCCTTCCCTCCCCCCCCCCTTCCGGACACGATTGCAGGGCGGGGTCCAAGCGGCTTTTTTTTTCGGTTTCTCGGAGGGGCAGGGGGGGGGGTCCGGCTTTTCTGCTGGGTTCTGCGCAGGCTGTCCTGGGTCTGAAATGCAGACTCGCTAGGCGTCAGGCCAAAAAGCATGGGGGCTGATGGGGGGGCCGGTCATTCATAGATCTTCTCGATGTCGATATCTGAAAACGTTGGAGTGACAATGTTAACAGCTGCAGTTTGCAGATAAACTCCCAGCAGCATGGAGGAAGTGTTGAGAGTCATCATTCAAGGTCTCAGAGCGGGACGCATCCACGAATGTTTACCTTGCCAGCGGCGTGCAATTGAGTCTATCACCCCGCACGTCTCATATGTACAGAACAGATTAGGCAGCGCACCCCCAGCTCAGCGGCCAGTTGATGCAGGCCTTGAACGAGTACTGCACACGATGTTCTACGCATGAGCTGTGCTTCTCACAAAAACCGCTAGATTCTCACCATAGCTGCCTCCTGACCTACCACCAGGCCCCTGCCTCGTACGTCCCAGACCGCATCAACTGCAATGGCTGAGCGATCCAACGTGTTTACCACCTGGGGGATTCAAAGCCATGACTTGAACGTGATTTTGCAGCACCGAGCTCTGAACCAGGTAGCAGTAGTTGGCCATCTGCTTCGCAAAGCGATCCTCCTTGGCTATCTCCGTGCCACAAAGGAATTGATACCTTATGGATGGAGGGCGCGCCATAAACCGTCGCTTCACTTCATTCTCAAACGCCTGTCTAGCCACCGAAGCTCAGCACCTCACGTCACGACCCCGCCACATTCCAAGACTTGGGTTGCCATGCCAGTATCCAGAATGTGAGGCTTTCGAGTGTCCCCTTCTGCTTTGACAATGACGGAAGCCAAACCTTCGGCAGATGGTCCGCACAGCCAGCTTGCAAGGAACTAAGAGATATTTTCGTTGACTGACATGCGTACTATGCCACGCGCACTTCCTTTGGCGACTGGGCAGCTTCTTGATAATAAGAGCCAGCGCGGCATGCAAGCCATGGCACATGATCGCAACAAGACGTTGACAGAAACAAAAGGTGAAGGCGCGTGCCGCAGTCTCCCCGGCAACTCTTGCTGTTTTGCTTGTTGGCGCACACTATACACCACACCGTGCGCTGGAGACTTGAACGCCCTGTCGCGGGAGCGGCAGCTTTCAGTGCAAACTTTGTGGGTCTAATAGAGACTGTACACAAGAGTTCTTCCGCTGTCCCATCATGCCCGCAAGAGATCTGCATAGAGAAAGACCTGCAATATGACAGCCACATCATGATAGGATAGCGCTCAGAACTGAAAATCATGATTCAGCAGCGTTGCCATGCCGAGCAGAGTGCAAGCAATGAGGACACGTGCGAAATATCAACATGCACTCCAGATCGGCTTGCGTGGCTAACTGAACTTGGACCCACTCAAGCACACGTTGGGATTGTATGATGAGATTGCACGGGTACTGCCAGTCATACTGTTGCAGCGCCACGTGGAAAACTCCGGCACGGTCGACAGAACAAAGAAATCCTGAACTACCCAAGAGTTAAATTATGGTGACGCTAGTTCAGTATCGAGTGCCCCCGCATCTGAGCGATCGCAAGCCGCAGAACTAAAAGCTAACTGGTCAGCGGTCAGCCTATGTGAAGCCGACCAGCTATCAACTATGAAAACATTGAAAACATGATAAACGTGATCAGTGCCCAAGCAGGGTAGGCTCAAGATCTGAAACAGAGAGCCTCCCAGGATTGAGCTGCCATTGCATGCGTGAAGTTCACACCTCAGCACACGGAATCCTGCAGCTGCATCTGGGAACTGAAGGCATTGGGTCCGCGCTGCTGCTAGTTTTGCAGGGATCTCGGTGTACTCTGAGACAAGGCTGCGTAAGCGATCGCCTGTTGGAAGTCAAGACGATAAGTACGCCCAAGCCCAAAGCGCACCAGGAAGCAAGCTAATGTGGCACAAACGGTTGGCGAGCAAGCGGCCTGAAAGGGTTTCGGCCTCACAAAGCTCATCGGCGACACGATCCAGGCAAGCGCGATTGGACATCAAGATATTCAACCTGGGAACAAGATAGGTACCTCGTGCTGCACTGTTCAGATTCCATCTGAGAGCCTGACGCGTTCAAGTAGCCTTCATCTGAAATAGCCTTCGCTTTGGACGACTTTCGATGACACGGAAACCACATCGTGCCCACATCATAATAATGCCTTGATGGCATCGTCGATCTTGGTGCTAAGGTCCTCTGAATATTCCGGACCCATGAATCCTCCATCACTGATCGCAATTGATCCTCGGATGAGGCAGCAAGCTGAGAAGGCCTGCAAAATGCAGCTTCAGGATGCCAAGGCCCAAACCAACATCAGACATCCCAAATTGAGTCACCATTGATCTGGCCATGCGCTCCACTTGCTGAAGGTCACCTCCAGCGCCTCAAACCAACCAAGTGAGAGAACGCAGGACATCGCATGACATCGCAACATGCGGCACACTTTGTCTGCCACATTTGACTCTCTTGTTTGAGACTCTCGCCTGTGGTGACCTGCGACGTGCCGAAAACGAGCTGTTCGGCGGCCCGGCCACCCAAAGCACCAGCGATGCGTGCCTACCGACAAACTCAAAAAAAAAAACAGCAATTGTGTGACAGCCTTGGGACATCTGCAGCACGAGGGCCTTGAGCATCGCCGCAGAGATAAGGCTCTGGTCCTTCTCAGAAAGTTGTGATGATGGCTCAACAAACATCCCTACCTGCATGGGAACAGGGCGTTGCCAGATGGCATGCGGCTATAGCAAAGTGCACAAGATGTCCTCACCGGGTGTGAACCACGTGAGGCCTTTAGC